ATTAGTAGTAAAGGAAATGGAATTACCCAGATTGGCTAAATTGACCAGGACTATTACTTAGGCACCTCCCTAAACCTGGACATATCACCATCTGGTAAACAAGGAGTAAGTGGAGTGTGGAGGTCGACTAATGGGTGGCCAACCAACAGTGTCCAGAGATAGACTATTCTCTCCATATTGTGTGGATATATGTGTCACCAGTTGCACATGCTGCACACTGTAGCAAACTGTTCTTCAGTTATTATAATGTGTTACTTCTTCAAATGGATGACCACTCTCTATAAGAGTCCTTTTTTACATATATATAACAGTTGGATTGCTTTTGGTGTTTGAACCCTAAATACAAAGTTCTACTATAAATATACAAAATCAGTTTATTTAATTTATTCAAGTATATGTTGCTATGTTATGTGCCAGGCACTGTTCTAGGCACTGGCAATACAAGAGTAAAGAAAACAAACAAGATGACAAAGTTCTCTCAAGATTCTCAACAAGTAATAAATAAATATGGAGTATCTCAGATGGTTGTAAGTTCCAACAAGAAAAATAAAGCAAGATAAAAAGATACGGTGTGCCTGAGTAGGGACTGGTATTTTATGTTGGATGATCAGAGACTTGCTGATAGGTGACATTCGAGCAGAAACCTCAAAGGTGAAGAAGTGACCTATGCAGGTTCTCAAAGAAGGGCATTCCAAACAGATGGAAAAGCCAGTGCCAAGGCCCTAAGGTAAGAAAATGCCAGTGTGGTTGGAATGGAGTAAGCTAGGAAAAAAGGTCAGGTGGGAAGTAGTAGATTATTCTAGAGTCTTGTTCTTCAAAGTTTGGTTTTCAAGACCAGCAGTGTTAGTATCAAGATTTAGGAATATATTAGAAATGCAGGATGAAGACCCATCCCAGAACTGGATGGAATCAGAAAATTTGTTTTTTAAGAAGATCTCCAGGTAAATCAAATGCACATTTAAGTTGGAGAAGCACTGGTCTTCAGTCGTATAGGTCATGGTCAAGACTTTAGTGTGAGTGAGTCTGAAAACCATTGGGTTCTGAGCACAGGAGTGACATGGTTTAACCTTTCAAAAGAATTACTAGCTGACTTGAGCAACTAGAAGAATGGAGTTGTCATTTACTGAAGTTGGGTAGAATATGAGAAGAGCCAGTTTTAGACTGTTGGTCATTTCATCGTGGAGTTCAGGAGAGAAGTCCCACCTAAAGATATTTGGGATTTATTATTCAGCATGTAGAGGTTATGGAGCCATGAAATTGGAGTGAATGTGGGTGGAGAACAAAAGCAATTTAAAGTCCTAAGACCTGAGACAGTCCAATATTTAGAGGCTGGAGAGATGAAAAAGAGCCAGTAGAAGAAACTGAGGACCAGCCATTGAGGCAAAAAGTTAATGAAGGTGCTAAATGGGAGCTAAATTAAGAGAATATTTCAGAAGGGAAAGGCGAGATCAACTGCAAATTAATTACTGGATTTAGCAATGTGGAAATTGCTGGTAACCTTGAAAAAGCTTTTTCAGAGTAATGGTGGGGGCAAAACCCTGATTGGCATAGGCTTATGAGAAAATGGGAGGAAAGAGGTTAAAGATGGTGAGCTTAGATAACACTTTCTGGTTGTTTTGCTTTAAGGAATAGCAGAGAAATGGAGTGGTAGCTAGAGTAGGAGGTTAAGTCAAGGGGGGATTCTTTTTGTAAGATGGGCAGCATTACATGTCTATATGCTGAATGGGAATAATCAGAGAAAGGGAAAAGCTGATGATACATGAAGGAGAAGAAAGAAACCATTGTTAGAGCACTATCCTTTAGTAGGTAAGAGAGTATGTGATTTGGTACACAGGGGGAGGCAATGGTTTTATTAGAGCATGGACAATTTATCTACAGTATCAAAAGAGAAGGCAGAGTCTACAAGCACAGATTCAGTTATGGCAGGTAAGTACAGAGCTTAGGGCAGTTGCAAGATTTTTTCTTTTCCATTCCATTTTCTCAGGGAGATAGGTAGTGAAACTTTAACTGAGAGTGAGTTGGGGAAGAAGGTCTTGATGTGAGGAAAGATGTGAAATAATTGCTTAGAAGAAAATGAATAGACCTGGGAATTTGTAATAGGCTTACCAGAAAATCCTAAATCATAAGTTTAAAGTGGTAATGCAGTACAAAGCTCAAGCTTTATTTTCTAGGCAAAGCAACCCAATATTGAAGAAAAGAAGAGTTTAGTGGAATTTTTTCCATC